GACATATCGACCATATATGGAAATCAAAGCACATGTACGCGAGGAATGCCAACACAGAATAATTGATTCAACAGCCTGGTTTACTGTTATATCTGTCAACGCCGGCTATTGTTGTTATTGGAAAGCAACACGCCATTGGCTTACGGCGTTGATGACACTTCTTTCTGTCTACATGAGCTATAAAAAACCCAGAGTAGACAATTTATACAAAATGAGAAACCTATTTTAGTAAGATGAAATCATTTGATCGTGAAATGGGCTCACAAACCTTCGGTAAAGAGTCGGATCAATCAATTCGGTCTCCTCCCGGTTAATACCATGTCCCCCAAACTCCCCACATCGCGCCCCCCATCCATCCCCCGTCTCTGGCTTATCATGCCATTGGGAAATCAGGAGGACGATGGAGAAATTGAGCTCAACATTTCCCCCTAATCTATATTCTCAACCAAGCCAAACTGACAAGAAAATAACGAACGCAGGACAGTTTTCGACAGCCATGAAATTGCTTTATAGGTGAATCCGGGCTGCCCGGGTTTTAATGGGCAGCATGAGTGTCATGAACGCAACGGAAACTCGCTGCAGAGCAACATGGCGAATGTGACACTGGTTGATGGCTGACACCTAACGACCTCCAAACTGGGAATAATCCTTCTTCAAGAAGTTTCATTTCTAAACAAGTTTTTTAGGTGATAGCGCAGGCCTGGTTGTAAAATTTTCATTTCACAGTTTATTTTTTTTGTTAGATCGATTTTTTTAGACCGATCTCATCAGTGTGAAACACTTATGAAACGCAACAGACACGTCATGACTCCCGAGTCTCGTGGCGATGAGGGTTTTAAAAGGAAAAAATCGCTTTCAGAGAAGTAACCTTCAAGCTGGCTCTGTTAACAAAGAAGCATCGGCAACATATATTTACATTGGACATCTTTGAGATGAAACTGAATATAGATATGTACACAACGTTGAAATCGTTTTTAAAATCTTCACTATATGTAATATATCTCTGAATTTAAAACACGCTGCCCCTTAACTGTTCATTTGTGTCGACAGACTAGTCGTTTAAGAATAACAGTACATTAAACACAACTACATTTTTAATAGTTTTCAATTAACACTTGCAAGTTAAATTTCGTCGGACGGTATTTTCAAAGCATATTTTAAAACTGTTTAACGACGTTTTAAGAGCGATTCGTCGTGCGTCCCTTGGACACGCCAGAAACCTATGATTGTGGGTTCGAATCCCGGTTCGCCGGAATTATGTTTCTAGGTTTGTCAGCACCATACCCGTGGTCGTGGGTTTCACCGAAGGGGTAAACGTCTAAGACCTGCATCACGCCGTGATATAACTGGAATAATGTTAAAAGCGGCGTTAAAACCGAACTCACTCACTCACTCAATGCAGCTTTGGGCCTCAACTCCTTACATGCTACACGTGGTTGTATTTCCTGTAAATTATTTAATGGTCGAAGAATGCAGCTGTACCTTACATGTTTCCCTTCTATTTCCCCAATTTCCCCATGGCAAGTGATGGATAAAGCACTGGATACATCAAACTCCAAACATTTTTTAGCATTTTTTCAGGATTACGATTCTCATCTGTCGCCGGCACGGAGCAGACTCTGAATCAATACTGATGTTTCCTTAGAGATGCTGGTGTTATCTGAAACCTGGAAACAGACCAGCTGTGATTGACGCACTGGTTTCATAGCTGATTCGTATAAAAGTTTGAAAGGGGCTGCATGTAGAAAATGGGACGGGTCTAGCAGATTTTTAATTCCAACGTTGTGGCAAATGAGATACAAAAACGTAGCCAAACAACAAATCACATCCCAGATGGATCCGGAGCTGCAAGGCAGCGATGGTGTGTGAGTGAGTCGTTTTGGTGGTATTTCAGTCATATCACTACAAGACGACTGGCCAGAGTTTTAAAGTAGTACACATATTTAGAATAGCGGATTTTCTGTGCCGAGTAAATAAATGGTGTAATTCCCGAACCTTTGCCGAGTGACTCAACGCATTCTTTGTTTCGAGTTGGTTGTTCTATATCTTAACCATTGACATTAAAGTAAAAAAATGAAGAAAAACGGTAGGGAAGTGTTGGTGTATTTTCAATGAAGTCGAACTTCAGGGCGTATTCTTTAAAAGGGGGGTGGGGGGGGTGGGGGGGGGGGGGGGGGGGGGGTGGGGGAGTCCATTTGGGCTATTTGAAGCTTCAGTGGGAGGGTGTGTGTGTGTCTTAAGCCTACCCCCAAAATCATAATCACTGCATGTAAACCTTTAATAATAATTTTACTTTAACATCGAAATCAACATGTTATCATGGTAAAATATGAGCATACGCAGTGTCATCGGATGTGAAATAAGGTTGGGTGGGTGTGGTCACACAAGAACACTTCTGGATCCGCCACTGAACCTGAACCTGACCCCAACCGACACACATTTAATATATACATGATAGATTCCATACACAAAATAAACCACAGAATATTATCTTTGATTCTCAATATTAAAAGATACTGTCAATCATCCTTTCCCACGAAGGTTAACATTAAAAAGTTCCCCATCCCCACCCCTCACTTAAGGTGGCATAAAAAATGGCTACTCCCCTATAAAAGAACCTACCTCAGCCTTTGCCGTTTACTATCCATTCGTCGTTTCTAGCAAGTGCATTTACATCAAAGCTTGATTCAAATAAATCACTACACTTTCATCGTAGCAATAGATCTTTTATAATGCGCAACGCTGAACCCAAAATAAAACATACCGGATGACGTCCATTCTGCTTGTGTAACGCACCATTACAAAAGAGCTGACCCCTGCCTTTCTCATCTCGAGTCCACCCCATGATCAAGTTCACGATAACCCCTCATTGTGGTCTGGGAACGCATCACTTCACTCGGACAGTTAATTTGGCCTGTGTCGTAGTGTAGTAACTGAGAAAAAATATGCCGTTCACTCACACCGGAAATTGGAAATTGCCGTAAATGAGTCTGGATGTCGTTAAATCTGTGAAGTGTCAACAATCGGAAACGAATTTCGATGAAGTTGAAGCCGGGCGGCTGTAGTTTCTATTATTGCTCAGCGAGACGGTAAAGCAAAGATTGATGGACACTCAACAACTAATATCCCGGTGGTTGGGTCCATGCTGGCAGACAAATGTCATTTCACAGACAGACGTGGAAAAAAACAACACCCTAAACAATGGTGTCATTGCAGTTGTCTCCCTTTTCAGTAGAACTGTTTCTCCGATGAACTTCAATATGTAAGCGCTATCATCATTGTTGGATGAAGGTCGAGAAGTGTCTTGCCAAGGATTGGGTTGACATTCTGTTACTAGTCTAAGAGTATCTGACTTTTGATTCTTCATGGATTAAAACTCTAACCAATACAAAATCTTCTAGAACACGGGGGTGACGGCCCTGTCTTCTTAGCCGCCGTGAGTCGCTCTGCAGAGTTGCGCCCCTTGGGCGCGCAAAAAAACAATGATTGTGGGTTCGAATCCCGGTTTCTAGGTTTTTCAGCACCATACTCGTGATATTACAGGTATCATGCTAAAAGCAACGTTCAACACAACTCACTCACTCACTCTTCTGGAACAGCATGGCTAAGTAATAATGACAGCTTCACTCTTTTCATAATTGCAGAGTGCAGCGTTAACAACAACAACGCACACACAGTCACTCATGATATTGCTTGAGTCCTTCTGAAAGCGGCGTCAAACCATACCCCATCACTCTCTCCTGGCAGTAAAGATAAAATAAGCATACGCCCATTTGGACGATGCAAAAACAGCTAGACAAACGACGTCGGTTTCAACATGTTTATCTATACAAATTTGCTGTCATTTAATCAACAATATCAGTCACGACCTTGACCTCGTGACCTTGGAAATAGGAAGAGCGTTAACATCAGCAGTAGAAGAAGGGTTAATGGGAAGTACGAATGTATGGAGGGATGTAGGGGACAAACAGTCGCCATTTGTACATTGGATTAAGTTCTATATGCTATACAATGTACATATAATCATAAAACACCAACAGCGCATGCGCCAATATATATTGACGAGACTCATACTTTGGAAATTCACTCTGCGTCAGAAATCCCTATCTCATGTCAACGCCATACCCCACAACACATAGTCACGTTAAAGCATAAATACTTTGACCGTGTATCCAACAACAATGAGGGGCGTCCACGAATATAAGCAAGAATAAAAAGTTACAGCGAAATATTGCTTAATCTTTGGCCATCAAAAGAAACGTCTCTCATCACCTTGCGGTGTTACAATTGCTGCCATCTTCCCGAGGCAAAGGAGTTAACTGGCTATAAAAGTCCAGTTTCCACCCTTGCAGAACTAGGCTGGAATTTCGTGGCTCGATCGTAGTGCCAGTGGCTATTACGAGTTATGTCCGTTCTATGTCCTTCCTTTTGACCAATCAGATTCCATCTGTCATATCATATGCATTTGCTTCAAACAAAATGGCGGCGCTAATCAAGACGATCTGATCGATATATCGTGATAAAACGGGTCTTACTTTGCGAAGTGCATCAAATCAAGTGAGAACCTTGATTAAGACAAGAATTTTTTTTAAAACTATCTGTTGACGACGAGTTGCAAATTCTGCAATCGACCAAATTCTGCACAGAAGTTTACGAACCGGATGCCGATTTCATTACGCGATTTTGATTGGACTATGCATTGATTCGTTAGTCCAAATAAATAGTACTCAAAATTTCGGGTTCGGGTTCGGGTGGCAACTGGACTTATGTGGTCAGTTAACTCCCTTGCCTAAGGAAGTTGAATTGTGGTATGGACGTTTGATCCAATGAAACAATAAATTTGGTTTTGTCTGGTATTGAATCCGGTTTCAAGTGTACTTTATTAAAGTGTCCTGATTTAAACTGAGGAGTTATCGCTCGTTGCGTAAACAATATTGCCATGGTTGCTGGTGGGTTCATACAAATTTTATTTCTGAAAAAAGAAAGGAGAAAAATTCTGGTTGAGATGAGAAACATTTCGTTTATGATCAAATGATATATTGTGTCGAAGCGTTATTCGATGTATGATTAATCCTTTTCACGAACATTCTTATTACGATCTGTGCTAAACCGGAACTAATCTACCAAACATTCTGGCGGAGATGTTACAAAATGTTTTCAGATGCGGCATAAAGCAATATTCGTTAACTTATTCATCTGTAAATATAACAGTTTGGATTAACGAAGTTACGTTAATGAAACATTAATAACCAATTTACCTCTCCCCACCCATTTACCGGCACAATATTTTATAGATGGTGTTTGTTCGTTCGTTCGTTTGTTTGTAGCTTAACGCCGCAGTCACGGCAGCCTGTTAATATTCGAGTCTGGCTGAGGCAAACCAGTCGGACACCGTCTGGGTACGACAGCGAGAAAGTCAACAAGTCACTCGGCCTGACTATCCGACCTTTTTAGTGGCTTATTACCTATGCTAGTCGTGAGAGACCACTTAATGGATTGTGTGGTCAGGCGCAGTGACGTTGCTCATAATATCAATCCCTTAATTGTCTGATCTAGACTCGATAATTTATTTACAGACCGCCGTCATTTGGCTGGAATACTGCAGCGTTAAACAACAAAGAAACAAACAAAATAATTCTTCTCAATAACATGGCATAAGCAGCCAATATATATGTACAGCAGTGAAAACTCGTTTACTCGAACTTCGAGGTCTCGATATATCTTCCAAGACGAAGTAATCGAGTTATGATCTACGCTAGAACCTTTGATCTCTTATCTGAGGCCCGCTTGTTTCGAACAACTGATAACTCGACAAATAATCGATTCCCCCAGGAGTTCAAGTTAACAACGTTTCACTGTATTTATGGCAAAGTTATAGAGATTCATAAATATTAACTAACATATATTAATGATTTGTTATATTTATGATATTGTTACATATGGGACAAAGCAACTCCGTGCAGCACAAGTACTCGATGTTCTCAGGTTGTCAAGACTTGATTTCTGGACACAGAAGCTCAGTCGAGCCCATCCTCGGCAGTGAAGGCTATAATCCACTGTCCAACCTTATGGCAAGAGTGCGTTGTTTAGTGAAATGGTTGGAACTCTGGCTGAAACAGAAGGGATATATGGTTAAAAAATTGGTGTCAACTTTGACACGTAGGTACGTACAAATCGAAAACTGTACGTTTGTAGTCACATATGATCAATATTTATTTGATGTCGTACGGTAATGAGTGAACCATTGAGTGAACGGTGTTTCAGTCATATCTCGGTCTGTTAACTTAATATGGGAGGAAATCACTACATGTACGTAAAGTTGGATATAGACCTCACTACCAGCAGATCCTGTCGAGTAAGGGACGCAACTCTGTACGGCGTGATCCACACAGCCTACATCACGCACTCATTGCATGAATACAAAATACAATCATCTCACGGCTCAGTAGGTTCTGACCGTTTCTTGGTTGTCGCTGTATTCTATAAATTATATTTTTATATATGTTTCTATTTATTCATTTAATAGTTTTCAGGTTGTGTGCTGAATAAGATTTGTTTTGGGAAGTTCCTCTGTGGTCAACAATATATTCAGATTGGCCAGTTAGATTGTAGGCTATAAAACAGAGAAACTATTATTATTACTATTATCATGATTAGTAGTAGTAGAAGTTTGTTTGTTTGTTTGTTGGTTGTTTAACGCCGCACTCCGCAATATTCCAGCCATATGCCGGCGGTCTGTTAATAATCGAGTCTGGACCACACAATCCAGTGATTGACATTATGAGCATCGATCCACGCAATTGGGATACGATGACATGCATCAACCAAGTCAGGAAGCCTGACCACCCGATCCCGTTAGTCGCCTCTTACGACAAGCATAGTTTCCTTTTACGGCAAGCATGGATTGCTGAAGACCTATTCTACCCCGGAATATTGGGTCTAGTAGTAGTAGTAGTAGTAGTAGTAGTAGTAGTAGTAGTAGTACTGACCTGGTGGTCTCTGACTTGGTCCCGGTAGTCAGCAAGGAGAACACGCGGGGAATACCCCATTGTCACATTGCCACAAAACTGTCACGCACGTGATTGTTTGTTTCCATGGCAACTGACAACGTCGACAGCCCTATCCTCATCTTGAATGTACATCGTGTCATATCACATATCACAGTTTAAAAAACCTCCTCCCCCAAAACGAACGTACCGCTCCTCGCCCTAGCACATCTATATTTACACACCCGCCCCCTCCATCAACAAACTGTTATTGCTTTCCTTACACGTCTCAGGCATATCACAAGCAGCAGACGACTTCCGGTCGTCAGGAGAAAATGTCACTGGTTTTCATGTCTGTGAATTGAGATAGGAAAGGGCAAAACATTGAAAGCGCAGTTCCCATAATTCCCAGCATGTAGCTCCAGCCAATCAGACAGTGGCCTGAGTCGTAAGCGGAAGCTGTGTCTCCGCAGTAATGGCGGAAGTATGACGACCCAAATCCGAGTGGAAATATCAGCAGGCCTGCGATCATGATGAGTACTGAAATAGAAGAATGAGGAAATTAGAGGAAGAGTTTCGTATTATGTTGTCAACTGGATAACATGTCATGGTGGATGGAAAATGAAAAGATGTAGTAGTCGATTGTTACATGTTACAGTTATGTTAGTGTTACATTACAGACAGTCACTGAAACTCCCTCGTCGTCATGTCTGGTCCCGCCGTTGTTCCGGATCGTGTTACACACTTAGCTGAGTGGCTGTCACAAATCTATAGTAAAAGTGCTATTGTAAAGTACGAGGGTAACGTTGAAGCGAAACGCGATCTGGGATATCAAAGACAAACGTGTAGGTGTGGGTGTCGATTACGATGGCAGTGTGCATTGTCAGTATAGATTTGTATGTTGTGTGTGTGTGGTCATGGCGACAGTAGTATTACCATCAGTAATGAGATGAAAGCTGAGATGAAATGGGGTTAACGTCGCGTTCAAGATTATTCAGCCTATATTCATATAGCTCTGTGTGTGTGTGTACCTCTGTGTGTGTGTGTGTGTGTGTGTGTGTGTGCGCGCGCGCGCGCGCGTGTGCGTGTCAGTGATATGAAGCTGAAGATTTTGTGTGTGGATATGTACATGGTAGAAGGATCGCTGAAATAAATGACGAATTAGAGAGATAAAATTTGGTTCTTCGTAAATCCCAATAATATCCCACAAATATGTCCCTTATATCACATCAATATATTTCATTACAATCTCTCTAAATACCCCATTAATGTGTGTGTGTGTGTGTATTTGTGTGTGTGTGTGTGTGTGTGTGTGTCTGTGTGTGTGTGTGTGTGTGTGTGTGTGTGTGTGTGTGTGTGTGTGTGTGTGTGTGTGTGTGTGTGTGTGTGTGTGTGAATAATTTGGTTCAACATTGGTATACCAAAATAAATAACATTATTGGATACCCTGGATGGCCTAAATCTATTCCTTATGGACAAAACAAAACACAAATGTTCACATCCCTCTTCACAAAAAACATGAATGTGTCGAAGCACTGACCGGCAAAATATCCAGTCTCCAACAAAATCCCAGGCTAGCTGTGCCCCCCGCCACCCACAATGTTAAATGGTCATAAACGTCCTCTACCAACAGGATGACTCAACATTGCTATCATTGTATCAAAGAAATCCAGACAATGCCCGAGTTAAAGTAATCAACAGCAAAGTGATTCCATAAAGCGACTGTCCTAAATAGCATTTCATAATCGTCCTCAGTGACACACGGTATCACCAGCTTCCGTGTTTCTATAGATACCGGTCATAATGACAGTGATGAAGCACTGGAGCTATTGTATGGACATACAAGAAATTGTCACTCAATAGGCTGGTATTACTTTTCCATTTGGAAGATTACATCGCGCGTTACCGAACCAGCCAAAGTGATGCCATGATAGAGGCATAATACCCTTGCCGGTTTCACACCAACAAAAAAGGGCTTTGAGATTGTGGGGCTGTTGACTGAAGCTTTATTTACGAGGCCAAGACACCAGTAATCCTATGGATAAGCTTGGAAAATTGCCTTGTAAGAAAAATAAATACAATTAGGCAGTTTGACAAGACGCCATTACAAGGTACAGACGCGTTAAGGCTACACTTTGTCACGATCTTAACAAGCTTCCTGGATCTTTGATGTTCAGACCCGAGGCTATTGCTCCGAGGTGGCACTTTCACGGGCTCGGCAATGTCGTCAGAAAACTAATAGCTGACATCGGTGTCGTTTGACCTTTATTTGCATACAGACGAGAAATCACGAGATTTTGTCAAGCCCGCAGCCAATGAGGACAGCCCCGCGGCGAATGAGAGCACACCCGCGGCAAATTAACGTAGCCATGCGACCTAATTGGCGCGTGCAGTGCGCCATTATCACGCCGAGTGATTCTCATTACTGGACGAAGCTCCTATGGGTCTTTCATGTTACGGTAGCCAACTGGATAATTCTTGACTCGGGCAATCGCCTTCAACACTCTAATTTGTTAGCTTTGTAAGCAAACATGTCACTTCATTTTATCAGACAGTGGAGGACTACCTAACGCTAATAACGTCTAATCGGTGATTAACTCCCTTTGATCTCGCGTTGGTTGCGAGAAAAAGCGAGAATTAGACTGTCTGATTCAGGTTGGCAGTGGGATGAATAGAGACGGTAATGAAATCAAAAGGTCAACCGCCAGTCAAAATCTTGCATTAATGTACAACATCTTTGAGTATGTTCATCTGTAGCCCAAACACGGTCCATAGCACATACACATTCCATGTTAAGACTACTGGTTAATAATTCATATAATTCAGTTACAGGATGATTGCGTGTCAATTTGTAGCCGAGATTTCTGGGAATCGAGCGAGAAGGGTGCGCAACGATGTAGCAAAGCTGCAGTCAATAATGACAGCATTGTACTTCCTTGGCATGAGACCCACTGGGAGTATTGCGTGTAGTGGAGATTGGTCTCTAAAGGATTATACACTAGGATTATGGGTGCCTGGCGTATGATATCTGAGTAGATGGGCATTGAATGCAACAATCATCCAAGCAAGGTGTAGTATTAGTAAATAATTGGCAGCATTCTTCAGCATACAGACATGATTGAAAAACAGATTTGCGAATACACACTTAGAACCATTATCAAACACTCCCTTTGAGTAATAATTTCGTAAAAGGTTCAAACTGTATGGAACGAGTATTACACAATGTGAACAGGCTCCAACGACCAATGTACCATTTTAAACTGCTCGGCAAAAGATAGTATACACCCATGTTTGATGGTTGCTTGAAATAATGAGTGACTGAGTGAGTTGACGCCGCTTTTAACAGTATTCAAGTTATATCACGGCGTGTCAGCTTAATGTGGGAGGAAAGCCCGAAGTGATGCAGGTCTCAGACGTTTACCACTTCGGTGAAACCCAAGAGCACGGGTATGGTGCTGACAAACCTAGAAACATAATCGGGGTGGGCTTGAAATAAAGGAAACAAGACATTTCGATTTTATTCGATGGTGATATATTTGATGCGGGTATCATAGTCGTGTTTGGGATCCAAAGTCCGCAGTGTTTCGGCAACTGTCTTCAACCTAGTAGCGTTTTGATAACGTTTGTAAAAATTTGGTCATATCCCAATTTCAAGTTTATGTTTTATTACTCAGCTCGAAGTTTATATTCCAGGGAAAAGGAGGTGAGAATATACTAGATACAAATTAATCTTGCCTCAGCAGCAATAACAAAATGTTCACCGAACACCCTAGATGCCCTGAAAATATGTTTTGCGAGCATTTTACTTCGTACAGAACATGTCCCGTATTGGAAAATGTGAACTCTCCACTGTGGGAAGATATAGATCGCTTTGCAGAAGGGCACTCTCATAATATGTATTGGCTGAAATAAATCCATTGGAATAATTCGCAGAAAGATCCTATCATCATTGTTTATTTGTTATATTGAATGGCGTGATACAATTAGTATAGTGATCAGTAACAAGTGATGGGTTATGTTACGTTATACTTACAACTGTATTACAGTATAAACCTTTCTCAAATCATGGTGAGTTGAGGTGAAATGGGGTTTAACGTGGGGCTTCAAGTTATTGCACTTCCATAACGACCTGCGTGTGGCTGCTTGAACTAGTCTGGACTTATGCCGATTTGAAAGTGCTAGCCCATTTAGATACCATACCGCAGTTTTACATAATACCCCACTCAGACACAGCGTACGAGTCGACGAGTTCTTGATTTATTCCCTTAATGCCAAGCGCAAGGCACGGAAACAACAAATACCATCTTTTAACGTCGGGGATCGGAACGCCACCACCCGTCCGCTCTACGGACAGACGCTTTACCACCAGACCACGGAGGCGATCTATATCATGGTTAGAGTTATCGAGGCTATGAACCAATCCAGTAGACTTGATGTCACGATTCGATAAATATGCAAATGAGATAATCTGTCAGGAATACATATAATGAAATATATGCATTGATGCGATGCAATTTTGCATCAAAAAAACACTTTGCATAGTGTTGCCAAAATATTCAGATAGATGCTTTCTGTTGTTTGAGTGCTTATGTAAACAAACTTGGCTAGAAATTAATTGGCACTTTGTTATAAGTGGGGCAGTTCACTCAGATCATTGTATGCATGCGCCCCGTCGGGATTCCGGGTTAGAATTGGTCTTCAGCAAGATATGCTTGTCGTAAGAGGCGACTAGCGGAATCGGGTGCTCAGGCTCGCCTACTTGGTTGGTGCATGTCACCGTATCCCAGTTGCGTAGATCGATGCTCATGATGTCAATCACTGGATTGTCTGGCTGGACTTGATTATTTACAGACCGCCCACATATGGCTAGCTGAAATATCGTCGAGGGCGACGTGATGTAACAAACAAGCGCGCGCTCTCTACAAATATATATAGACGTAAAGTTGCACAATGTTTACCAGTTACCACTACTTTAATCCTATTGATATTTGAAATCATAAGGGCATACTAATTTACACATTTACTTGTTAAAGCATCTTATTTTACACTTTTAAGCAGAAAATGGAATAGTTAAACAATACACAAACCTCGAGTTTGTGATTACACGCAATTTACTTACATTTACATCATACAAATGTTTTTTTTCAGAGTTGATATAAGACTGAAAGTGTAGATAAGTGTTACATTTATCAAATAGCGACAAAGATGAAAACAACTTTTGACAATACATATCTTTAATAGTTTGCGATACAGAAGGATTGAATGCTCTGTCGTTTGAAAACAGACTGATCATTTCTGACATGACCACTGCTTGCCTTTAAAACAAAAGTAAATACAGCTAGGAATGCATGCAATGATCGCATTTGTCATTTATTCCCGATATGAACTTTGAACGTTTAGTTACATAGCAATTTCAGTAAAGATATCACGTCAAAAGCCTGTTTATGAATGGTTGTTATAAGTCTCAAATAAAAGAAATTTATTTTCTCGGTGCCTTGAATGTTCAATGTGCCCATTAATCCTTGACGTCACGATCAACG